CAACTGCTGTCAGTTCTACATCTCTATGTAGAGATATAGCCCATAAGATTATTTTCAATGGATCTTCATTTTTGTTCATTTCAAAAGGATAGAAACAAAGCTTAAAAAGACATTATTACTTACAAATCTTTAATCCTAGATTTGTCTTGAGTATTCACATTTAACACAAACGGTCAAAGAGGTTCCTGCAGAGCACGGATGATAATTTCTTGACTCAGGTGGTGGAGACACCAACGAGGAGGGGTGCAATCCTAGACCCTGTACTAACAAAGAAGGTCTAGTTGGAGAGGTGAAGGTTGGGGGCAGCCTTGGCTGCAGTGACCGTGAGATGGTGGAGTTCAGGATCCTACAAGGAGGGAGCAGGGCAATGAGTAGGATTGCAACGCTGGACTTCAGGAGAGCTAACTTTGGCCTCTTCAGGGACCTACTTAGGGGAATCTCATGGGGTAGGGCCCTAGAAGGAAGAGAGGTCCAAGAGAGCTGGTTAATATTCAAGCATCACCTCCTCCAGGCTCAAGATCAGTGCATCCCTCTGAGGAAGAAATCTAGTAAAGCAGGCAGGAGACCTGCATGGCTGAGCAAGGAACTCCTGGCAAAACTCCAGCAGAAGAAGGAAGTGTACAGAACGTGGAGAAGGGGACAGGCCACTTGGGAGGAATACAGGGACGTTGTCAGAGTGTGCAGGGACGCAACAAGGAAGGCTAAGGCCCAGTTGGAATTAAATCTGGCAAGGGATGTCAAGGACAACAAGAAGGGCTTCTTCAAATACATCAATAGCAAAAGGAAGACTAGGGAAAATGTGGGCCCGCTGCTGAAAGGGGCGGGTGCCCTGGTGACAAAGGATACAGAGAAGGCAGAGTTATTGAATGCCTTCTTTGCTTCTGTCTTCACTGCTAAGGCCAGTCCTGAGGAATTCCAGACCTTGGAGACAAGAGAGGAAGGCTGGAGAAAGGAAGACTCTCCCTTGGTTGAGGAGGATCGGGTTAGAGATCTTTTGTCCAAACTTGACATCCACAAATCCATGGGCCCCGATGGGATGCACCCACGAGTGCTGAGGGAGCTGGCGGATGTTATCGCTAGGCCTCTCTCCATCATCTTTGAAAGGTCCTGGAGATCAGGAGAGGTGCCTGAGGACTGGAAGAAAGCCAATGTCACGCCAGTCTTCAAAAAGGGCAAGAAGGAGGAGCCAGGAAACTACAGGCCTGTCAGCCTCACCTCCATCCCGGGAAAGGTGATGGAACAGCTCATCCTGGAGGTCATCACTAAGCATCTGGAGGACAAGAAGGTGATCAGGAGTAGTCAGCATGGATTCACCAAAGGGAAATCATGCTTGACCAATCTGATAGCCTTCTATGACAGAATGACTGGCTGGGTAGATGAGGGCAGAGCAGTGGATGTTGTCTTTCTGGACTTCAGCAAGGCTTTTGACACTGTCTCCCATCACATCCTCCTAGGTAAGCTCAGGAAGTGTGGGCTAGATGAGTGGACGGTGAGGTGGCTTGAGAACTGGCTGGATGGCCGAGCTCAGAGGGTTGTGGTGAATGGCGCAGAGTCAAGTTGGAGGCCTGTGGCTAGTGGTGTCCCCCAGGGCTCAGTCCTGGGTCCAGTCTTGTTCAATATATTCATCAATGACCTGGAGGAAGGGACAGAGTGCACCCTCAGCAAGTTTGCTGATGATACTAAACTGGGGGAAATGGCTGACACACCAGAAGACTGTGCTGCCATTCAGAGGGACCTGGACAGGCTGGAGAGGTGGGCGGAGAGGAACCTCATGAAGTTCAACAAAGGCAAGTGCAAGGTCCTGCACCTAGGCAGGAATAATCCCATGCACCAGTACAGGCTGGGGACTGACCTGTTGGAAAGTAGCTCTGCCGAGAAGGACCTGGGAGTGCTGGTGGACAACAAGTTAAACATGAGCCAGCAGTGTGCCCTTGTGGCCAAGAAGGCCAATGGGATCCTAGGGTGCATTAGGCAGAGTGTTGCCAGCAGGTCGAGGGAGGTGATCCTGCCCCTCTATTCAGCCCTGGTGAGGCCTCACCTGGAGTACTGTGTCCAGTTCTGACAAGAGGCAACGGGCACAGACTGAAACACAGGAAGGTCCATCTGGACATGAGGAAAAACTTCTTGACTGGGAGGGTGACAGAGCGCTGGACCTGGTTGCCCAGAGAGGTTGTGGAGTCTCCTTCCTCCTGGAGATATTCAAAACCTGCCTGGACGTGATCCTGGGCAATGTGCTCTAGAGGACCCTGCTTGAGCAGGGAGGTTGGACTAGATGATCTCCAGAGGTCCCTTCCAACCTAAACCATTCTTTGATTCAAAATACATTCATTTCTACCTACATTTTTCATTGGAAAAATTAGGAGTCCCTAAATTTTCAAGCATGCAAAACTAAAGCTGAATTTCCAGGGCAGGGGGAAAATTGATACAATTAACTTTAAAATGATGCGCACTGAGGGATTTAAAAGAATATTCTGTTCTTTTTTTTTTTTTTAAATGTATATAAGAATTCCAGTAAAGTTCACATGAATACCGAGAAATAATTTTTTCTTGGAGATTTCAAATGTTGTGTATAATATGACAAACATTTCACAGCCTATAACCATCACTGTAAAGAAACCTTTAATAGATTAGATAACTGTGGCCATCTCCAGAGAAAACATCAGGAGACAGATAAATTAATTGGGAGGAGAAAATCAATTATGAAGACATTAATTCTAACTGATGTAGGAATTAATATAGCTAATAAAGAAAAGCTTTTCTTAAAGTAAATGTAAGTTTAAGCAAGTAAATGTACATCACTGACACAATAGCTCTGAGTTTGACATACTCGGAAAATCATTTGAGAGACCTTTTATATCTCCCTAATGGTACATGAATGTTGAATTCTTTGGCTGCCCACCTTTAGTCATAAATAGATGTGCAAAGTAGTTAACACAAAGGAAGATATACTTATTTATAGCAATTCAACATGTTCTACAGGCACTCTAATATCTTTTAAAGTCATTTTTACATGAAACGTAAAAAGAAGCTGGAAGGCAAGATTTAAAACTTTGTATTACAACTTGGTTAGAAAAAAAGTCTTTCTGAATTTTTCCAGAAAAAAAAAAGCAATTGTGGAAATAAAAACTTGCTTTCATAACAGCTCTTGCATCACATTGCAACTGTATTATTTTTTCATTTTCCTCAGAGGTTTCTACTGAGGGTGCTCCCTTCCCTTGTATTCAAAAGCTAACACCTGCAGTATCCTACTGGAGGTAGACAATTTATTTTCACTTTATTTATTTCAGCCAGTACAAGAGGGAACATATTTTCATCTTCCTGACCTGAAATCAAGTAGATATCTCCACTATTATTGATAGGAGCTGACCTACATGCTAAAACGACATCTCCAGTGGCCTTAACTTCAAGCAAAAATCTAAAGTCTCATCAACAACCCCGTCAGCTCAACAACCCCGTCAGCTCAATTTTTAATGGCATGTAAATTCTAGTCAATCAGAAGGGTCAGTATAGATTACTATTACTATATATGTGTGTTCTATATGTGTGTATACACTTTTAAAGAGAAAAAGCAAAATCAGTTATTCCATTTTCTGGTAATTTTAAAAGCATGAGAATGCATTTCAGTAAAGCAGCAGCACATCTTTGGTGTATTTATGCCAATGATGAACATACCATACATAATGAGTATTTGGAAAGGCAGTACACTGAATAATTCAGGGACAATACTCTGGGACAAAAGTTTCATGGAAGGCTATACATCCAGAAAACACTATACATAGGCAGCATTTGTGGCAAAGAAATTGCACTTCCTAGCATGACCACCAACTAACATTTATTTCTCAATTTCATCATTTGCTTTCTTTTGAGGTTCTATTTCCTATATTCCTTACTGAGCTGCTCTGTTTTCCTCATACATCAGAAATAATTCTTTTTTGAGCCTCCTGCTAGATTCCTACCCATTCCTCTTTCTTTTTATTTGTTCCCTGCTCCAAAATATGGTATCCTCTTTCCACACTCCTTCCAGCTCCTTTTCAGATTCTTACTATTTCTCCCCCTACCAAATGTTCTTTTCTCCCCGTCAGCATGGTAATGACCCAGGCCACAATTCTTCTACACCTTGACTACGTCCTTCAAATTTTACCCACCACCCTCCCAAATGCAAAAAGCCAATTAGGTTCCCATTCTCAGGCAGCAGGGACATGGCTCTCCACTGTGTCTACTGGAGAGAGAGAGGGGAGCGAGGGAGGAATGAGGAGGCTTGGGGAGGACTGCGAAAAGACAGAATGCAGTAGGAAAGCAGCACTCCTTGCAGAGGCAGCCAGTAGTTAGTCCTAGCCTACCTCATAGACTTGTGCCCTCAAGAAAACAGGGTTTCACATGTATGAGCAAGGCTGAAACAGGCAAGCCAAAGGCTTATGCAAAACAGAAGCTTCTGCAGCTATACCCATGTGACATGCCCTCATTCACTTGACTTACAGCCCTCCTAACAAACAGTTCCCCTCCCTGCTGGCACAAAGGAGCAGCGAGTTCCTCCAAGTCTGACCAAAGACAGCAACAGGCTCTCCGGAGCAGCAGAGGTGAAAGGCATCTGGATCGACTTCTGAGGCATCTCAGTTTTAGGCTAGCAGCTACAGGATATTACATTTTTCTTCTGTCATATAAAAATTTCCTGCCCAGACAGTATTAGGGTCGTGAACCTCCTCTCACAGAAACAGTGTGGCACCCACCTCATTGATATTCAGGTGGCTGATACAGCAGTGGTCACATTTCAGACTGTTTGTAAAGCTCTGTTAGCAACAGTGAGTTCTAAAGATCACATCTCTTAAAAAAGTCTCAACTTCTAATACGTTCACAAGCTCCACAAGCCATCGTCCTATGTATCTGCAGCATATCTTCCAATCTAAGCTTTCACTTGCACAGATTTTGAAAAATACTAATTACCTGACCAATTGTGAAATTAAAATACCAGGAAAACAATCATATTGCAGTTCTTTTCTTACCTGCATCCCTCTCATTTTCTGAAACCGAGCTACTGCATCACTGATGGTGTAGACACGAAGATGGCCCATGTGAAGTTTTCCAGAAGGATATGGGAACATAGAAAGCACGTAAAATTTTGGCCTTGATTTCTAGAAAGGAATTTTATAAAGTTATAACCACATGAGTTAGCACTTAATTTGAATATAACATGTGCACATTACAAACTCTACAGTATCGTTAGGTGAAACGAGGTTCTGCTGGAACAGATCCACATGAGCACTGAATTCCTAGGATCAAATTCTTTGGGGCGGCAAATGGAGACCTTTCACCAGATGTGGCTGCTGTCTCTTCAATCGATATTGGTATTTACATAAAATTTGAAAATTATGTTTTTAATCAACTTATTCAGCTGAAGATACATAATCGCAGCCTAACAAATCACTATTCCTTACTACAGCAGCAGTAACTGATTATCTGTGTGCTCCTTATCTGTCCCATCAATAAAGGAAAACATGGCAGATTAAAAGATCCTCTTCACAGTTTAAATAAAATGCTTTACTTTGCATTTCCAATGAACAAGGAGCTCATTCATGGCCAGCTGCTTTTTGTTAGCTGAACTTTGGTAACTCACTGAATGATAAACTCAATCACTTGTAATTACATGAACACTCACTGAAGTGAAACTGTTCAGTTCCACTACGCTGTTAGACAGAAACACACTATCTGCAGTGACAGGATCTTGCAGTGAAATCAGTGAAAAGAAAATAAAACATTTTCATTTTGGTAGGTTTGAATAAACTGATACAATTTTTCATTTCCTCTTTGTAACTTTTATTGTCCATAAAAATTACTCCTAATACGACATCTTAATTACCATTGAGTTTATCTTTGATACTTATCTTCGATACTTAAGTTCTTCCTTTATTTTTCTTTATTTATGTTAATAATGCAAAAAAAAGCTACCATAGGTAGCTTTTATTATTCTGAATCATACTCTATTCGCATTAATCAAAATTTTTTCTTTTTTTTGCTTTTGTTCAATAGCAAGCTTAGGAATAATTTGAATACTTCATTGGAGCACTCTATACAACTTGCATCCTAGTAAGAGATATTACATTTATTTCAATGGTGAGGATAAAATAATAAGCATTAGCATTAAAAATCCCTTTTGGAATTTAGCAAATGCATGATACATATATGACTAATACATACGTATGTGTTGTCGTCAGATATTAATAAGACACAGGCTTAAATTAATGCTTTTTCTGCTATGCGTGTGCATACACACAATCTTCATCTCAGTTTTCTTCTTCAGAAAAAGCAAGGCCCTTCTCTCTGACAATTTGATAGAATCCATTTTCTGTTGGAGATGGCACATTTGAGGGAAGAAGAAGAGCAAACAAGAAGAGGAAAAAAGAGATTTTATACCTAAATGACTGAGCGTAAGTATGAAGGGAAAAGAGTCAAAGACAGAGATTGCAATTGTTTTCAAGGTTCTTTATTGTGTGGGAAAGCACTTTTTTCTGCAAGTCACTCGTTTTTCCTAAGATGCTGTAAAACAGAAAAAAATCTTTAAACTATCACCTTTCCTTAACACAGATTTTAGAGAGTAACACAGTGTCAAGCATAATTGATTTTGTCATAATCACTGGGAACAACCTGTTTAGAAAACTAATTATTTACAACATTTCTGAATGCAAAAGATGTTTGTTTTGTTACTTTAAATAATTAATTCCTGAAGTGTGGTACAATATTGGAAGAAATTAATGATTATTTAAACACTTTCTAAATTTCCAAGTTGATACTTTTCTGCGAAGCATGCTTTTACTTAAGAAAGCTTTTCCACCTATTTCAACTGTTTTTAATGATCTACTACCACACAAAAATATTATCCTCTGTAGTGCAGTATATAGCTCAGCACTGTAAGTCAACTGTATTAAATGTTTTCAATATTTTTCTGCTTGAGAAAACAAAAATATCAAATTTGCAACATCAATATGCAATTTCCAAATTTCTCATAATGCTTACATCAGTTTCTGAAATTCTGCAGAACTGATCCTTTATTCTTGGGAACCACCAATTTTCAACTCTTTTTCTTGTCTCCAACCCATAGCTTTTTTCCCATTTCCCCGTCTCACTGTAGATAGCTCTGACGCATGCAGGATCCAGTCGTGTCTGCCATTTAATTAATCCCAAGAAGCCATGTAGTTGTTTATTCAAACACGAGGAACAAGTGCCAACTTTCTGACAAACTGACTGCATTCTTAAGGCTATGCTGCGTGTTCTGAAAAAGACAGAAATATATATTTCAATCTACAACATGTAACTAGAATTCCGTTGTTATTATGATTATATAGTAATTTAGTAGCTGCGAAGCACATTTTACCTTGGCTTAGATTACGTAGCTGCTTTCCACAGTATCTGCATTCTATTCCCACGCGTTAGAGTTATAAAAACACTTATTTTTTAGTTGAGAGAACTAACAATGGCCCTCGCACAGGACAGTAAAACTGAGCAAGCCTATTAGATTAAGTTCAAGTTATGTTAGATTTCTTCTCTAATAAGATGCAACCCGTGTATTCAGTCTCCCAAAAGAGCAGATTAGTCAACTGAAGGTTCAAGAAATCAGGCTGACTGAACGGAAGAAGGTGGCTAACAGGGTTTTACTAACAATTTAGAGTAAAAATAGGAAGAGGAGGAAGTTGGATAAAATTATCTTGTAAAGCTACCAAATCTGTCATCGCTGTAAAGAGATGGAGGTGGATGACTATAATTAGTAGATTTCAAATGGTACCAGAGGATATTCTAAACTAAGTATTTTGCTAAGGGCTTCCCTACCAGTATACTTTCCTGCAAGAATTATAAGGCAAATTTTTAAGTATACTGCTCAGAAAAGGGTACGATATAACAGTTCAAGCAAGACCAATTCTGAAGAGATCCAATTCTCTTTCAACTAAAAAAATCAGTCAAAAAACCTCCTTGCCTGCTTCAGATTAAGTATTCTCAAGTAAAAGTACTCAAAGGTGAGAAAGATCAATTAGTCTGCAAGTTCAGGATAGGTCTCATTAAGATGTTTACTGATTTTATCAGATTTTCTTTCTTATAATAGGAAATACGACATAAAAAGAATCTACCATGAGAAGTTTTCTTTCCCCATCTCCACCTCAATTTCCCTTTTTAAAATCTTGTTTATTTACATCAATATTTCCTACCCTCTACAGGCTCCTTCTCAAATATTGACCTATATATTTCAATGCTGTCGCAAGCTAGCTACTTCAGTTAGATTCATAATTTTGCATGGAAAGAGTCACGCTAATAAAAGCCCTGTGAAGAGAAACTCTGCATAAGAGAACAGCTCTGCTACCCTTCCCATACAATAACACCACTATCAATAGAAATCATTTTTAGGTCACTTAAATTACATACCCGCTATAACTAATGGGAGTTATAGTCCTTCAGTATATACCACATATGCATACATAAGCCCTCCTTCCCTGCACCATTACGTATCTGCATCAGAGATATATTTTATCTGTTATTTATCAAGCAGGCTCTTTTAAACATTCTCCATTTACATAAGTCATGCCAGTGCCTTGAATTTTTTGTTGCTAATCTCTAAAACCTCTCTTATTTCTAATAACAAGAAATACAAAATTGAACAGAGGTTTCCGAATGCAAGTGCACAGAGTTATTCAGGAGGCACCTAATTTCTTCCCCTCCATACTCTGAGGCTTACTCATACAGCTCAGAATTACCAAGGACATTCGGGTGCTATACTGTTTTACTTTTTATTACTTACTTTCTTATTACTTATTTCTGTTACTTCTATTAGTTTTATAACAAAAACAAGTACTTTTCCTTCCTTTTGGCATTGCTAATTTGTTAGCTGCTTTAATTTGCTTGCTTGCTTGTTTGAAAACATATATGCACATGAATCCTTCGCTCAAGAGACAAAGGAAAAGCACAGGCAAAACCCCAGGGGTCTGTGTCCAGCTCCAGAGAAGCCTGCCTGTCAGTGCATCCCCAGGAAATGTTTAGATGACCTCACACCCCTATAGGTCAGACGAGCAGGAGTGACACGTATGGGAAAGGGGCTGCAGTTTGGCTCAGGTAGACTTAAAGCACAGCTCATTTAAACACAGGGACTCACCAGATGAAAAAGAGATCTAGAGTCTCTTTCTTGCTCCCACACCCGCTTATATACAAGATCCAGATGACCAGCAAGTCACACATTAAGCCAACTAGTGACACGTAGCACAGACGGTAACAAAATATGAAACGTGGTGCTAAAGAGTTTTGCCTTCCCATGGTTAGGTGTACAGGATTAGGGCGCTCAGCATGCCCTGCTTCGAGAAACCCCAGTGCAGCCTAGTGCAGGTGTCGGTAGGAGACTGCAAGGCAAGAATGTCAAATCAAGGCAAGAAGGCAGTAAGGCGCTGGACAGATGGAGGAGACATTAACCCAGGCTGAGATCTTGGTTTGGCAGGAGGTGGTAAATACACAGAAGAAGGAGGAAGCCTTAACTAAATTAAGGTATTGAAAGTTGCTTTGCATGGGCCAGTACATTTCACCACTCTTATCAAAGAGGCCAAATGAGAAGCCTCAAAATAAGACTTTCGTAGATAGCTCACATCATAACCCCATGTGAATCAGCCATCCGAGTTTCTGAAAATATCATGAAACAAGACTTCCACTGGCTGAATACGCTTCTTGGAGGTCCTGCTGTTGAGAAACGTCTCCCCATTCACTTCCTCCTTCAGTATGCCTGCCTCATCTGTTCAGATGGAGAACACCCTAGGGGCAGGACAAAATATTCTTTGACAGGTAACAAGCAGAAAACATAGCAGCTGCCCCATGTCTGAAATCCAGTGCATGACACCTAACACATCTCTGGGAAAAGCAAGTAAGGCGGGTAATTAGATTTCTTTTATTTTCTTCTTTTTCCCCTGAGAAGCTCAAACTTGAAGAGCCTCTCAAAACCCTTTTTTATTTCCTCTCCTTTTAATTATTAAGAAAAGCCCCGACGGGGTGGCACGTTGCTGGAGAAGCAGGCGCAGGAGCAGGCAACTGCCTCCAGAGCGCGGAGGAGAGAAGTGACGGTGGGGCAGAGCGCCGAGGACCGGGAGCGGGGCAGAGGACCGCTGCGAGACCTGGCTACCGAGCGGGGCACCGACGGGGCGCTGTGAAGAGGT